ATCGCCCTGGCTCTCTGTCTCCTCCCCTGGGGAGGCACGGAGAGCCAGGGGCAAAGCCCCTTCTGTAAGCCACCTCCGGCCTGGATAACTTTAGTTTACGTATTTATACGTTACCCGCATTCTACTGCTAGTCTATTAAAAAAAACGTATTACTTCTGCCTCAGGCAGGCCTCTAGGTAAGATGGACTTGCTGGGGTCTGGGCCTTCTTCAGGGAAACTCTGTTAAATACAGACACAAAGTAAAATAAAAATAGAAACAATATATTTATGAAATCACGTTTTTGGAAAAACCATACATCTTTGGATAGCACATGTTAGAAGAAAAAAGAATAGGAGGATATACGCCAAATGTTTACAGTGCTTTTCCCGGGACTGTGACAATTTTTTCTTCCTTTTGTGGACCTGTATTTTATACTGTCTTACTACATAGGTATTACTTGTGTAAGGGAAATGTTCTGAAATGTACTCTGAAAATACCTTAGTCATTTCAGGGTAGCAAACAAAGATGAAGGCTTCGCCAGAGTAGAAGGAACACTAGACTTGCCACAAAGGTCTTGGGTCATTGAACAAGCATGTATATTTACATACATTTGTTAAATCTATATAACAAATATGTGTAAAAATATTTGTTGGGTTACTTGCCAGATATTGACTGGGTAGAATTCTTGGTAAGATGGATTAAAAATATACACTTCATAGGATTAATTTGAGAACAAAATGAACTCATGTCTGTGTAAGCATTTAGCATAAGGTTTTAATTGGGCACAAGTGCTCAGTAAATAATTTAAAAAATGAAAGTTTTAGTCCTTTACACAATATAAAGAAGGGGTATGAGTAAGTAAAACATAGTAAGAATGTTTCATGTAGAAAACGAAGAGTGAGGAGGAAGAGATAAGTCACTAATAAAATTAAGTGAGATTATTCTTTTTTGTTTGTTTGTTTGTATTTTTCCCAAATATTTTAGTTTGGAAGACCTGCGAGTAAAGCTGGAGAAAGAAGGTTTTTCTAACATCTCCTATGTTGTTGTTAATCATCAAGGACACCCTTCTCGATTAAGATATAATCTTCTAAAAAATAAGGTTTCAGAACATATTCCTGTTTATCAACAAGAAGAAAACCAAACAGATGTCTGGACTCTCTTAAATGGAAACAAAGATGACTTCCTCATATATGACAGGTATGTACATACACACACATACACCCACTTACAACACCAGAAATTAAAGATGCCTGCTTGTATTTAATTTAATAGAAATTGATTTGAGATAAGGCCCTTGCTTTTATTTTATTACCAAATATTTAGTTTCAAAGTGAGCCCATTAAAATATTTTGTTCTGATATTTTTGAAATAATTTTTTTTCACAAAAAATTCACTATCCCAGTAGGGAAATAAAGAAAACTGACTATACTTTTTCCCCCCGTAAATTGGTGTTCTGGTTAAACACAAATGAGGATCGATTTGTATATCACATACAATTCTAATCTAAGAATTTTGCAGGAGAATAACTTTGGGGAGACTGGATGAAAGAAGGTGAAGGGATTAGCCAAAGAACATATATGCATAACCCATAGACACAGACAACAGACAACAGTGTGGTCATGGCCAGAGGGAAGGGGGGGCAGGGGCTGGGTGAAGGTTGGCAAGGGGGGATGGGGACATCTTGTAATAGTGTCAACAATAAAGAAAACAAACAAAAATAACCACACTTTGCAGACCACTTGCTTATCTCTAATCTAATTAATAATTTTAAGACTGCATACCTGAATTTTGGAACTATAAACTGTGCTAATTATTTAGGGATAATAATTGAATCTGCTTTTGATTCCATGAATAAAACAGTGCATACATTATTTGATATTATTAACATTCCTAGTGGGCACTCTGTTTCCTGTTGGTTCTTCAGAGATGGTGAGCCTGACTTGGCCAGGCCTAAGCCCTCCTTGGTCTTTCTCGAAATATTTTTAATATTATGTCATTCTTTTAGGACTTCAAAGTTCTACTGCAAAGTATAAGTATTTGCTATCCACAGAAAATCGTATATACTGGGTGAAATGTGCGCAAGAAGGACATTTCACCTCCACCATTTCTGAGCATGCCCAATGTTGTAACTCTGTGTCTTTCATTGTGAAATTTTTGTTGCTTCAGATTTATTTTTAAGAAAATGGACCACTGACCAAGACTCTAGGATGTTTTGTCAGGCTGTGACTTCTTGTGTGGACTTCTGCTGCCTTAGCAGCTGTGAGCAGCGCATATGATTTGCAGAGATTAATTTGTGATGTCAGTGGTTTGGGCATGGGTAGAATTTTTAGGTCAATAAAAAAATTGTATTTGACCAAATCACAATGACTAGACTACAGTTTTGATATTGCTTATAGCGATATATCTGTAACATTTCTAAAAGCTAGTGTTAGACTCACTGCATCTTGCTCTGACCTGAGCTGGCTGAGCGCCAGGGAGCTTGAGTCCTGCTGAAGAACCATTCCTGAAGGTCCGACCTTAGTTATGAGACCCCTGACCCTACACAGCCTTCTTCCTACTGCGCTGGGGCCGGAGCACGATACAGAGAACACTGTGATGACGCCGTCTTTGTCCTTTTTTCCAGGTGTGGCCGCCTTGTGTATCACCTTGGCCTGCCTTTCTCCATCCTAGAGTTCCCGTACGTGGAGCAGGCCATTAAGATTGCTTACTGTGAAGAGAAATGTGGAAACTGCTCTCTCACGGTATTTTCCTCAATGATTTTTACTGGGAGAAAAGAGGAGATCTTTAAGGAGTTATCGAAATAAGTTAATGTTTCATGACCAAGTTAGCTAGTCACTGTTGGTGTACTAAAAAGAAACTGCAACAGTAATTTTTATCATCACACACACTCCCTGTCATGTAACCTATTCTTTAAGATATCTTTTCAAGATCCATATTGCCACTTTGGTCTAGAGTTTAGAGCAGTGGTTCTCAACCCTTTAATACAGTTCCTCATGTTGTGGTGACCCCCAATTTCATTGTTACAAATTGAACATAATTAAAGCATAGTGATTAATCACAAAAACAATATGTAATCATATATGTGTTTTCCGATGTTCTTAGGCGACCCCTGTGAAAGGGTTATTCGACCCCCAAAGGGGTCGTGACCCACAGGTTGAGAACCGCTGGTTTAGAGAGTGAAAAACAACTTAGATCACATGTTGCAGTTACCAGCAAGTGATGCTGCGAGAGTGTAAGTGCTCCAAGAACTCAGCCAACATAAAGGCACGTCAGTGTAAAATCCTGAGCGTGGTTCACGCAAGAGCATGGAGACAGCACAGCGCGACCACAGGGTGTTGCCTGAACTGGAGTGGGGCCCAGGGAACGACTTCATGGAGCGAGGGCGCGAGGCGTTCAGCTTTTCCCAAGGTCTAGGCTGCCTGCCCTCCTGCAGTTGGATCACGGCATTTACTTTGAAATGGGATTAGTTTTCTACTCGTTACTGAGATTTCTTTCCCAAAACACAAAGCCAGTTCCAGCCTAGTGAACTAGTTGGAGTTTCATGGTCGCTCTGCAAATCATTTTTCGGGCATTCACGCTGAATCTATGCATGTGTTGATGAGTGATTGATAAATTTGTTTCAGACACTGGAAGATGAAGACTTCTGTAAGAATATGTCTTTGGCTACTGTGAGAAAAACCACCGAGGCTTCGGAGCCACACCACCATCACCATCATCATCACCATCATGAGCATGGGCATCAGCACATTCCCATCGCCCCGCTCCCGGAGGACCAGCAGCCAGCGGCACCAAACGCGTCTGAGCGCGTCCCTTTTCCAGGTCTTCACCACCACCTTAAGCTCGAGAGCCCCCAAACACAGGGTCACCCCGTGCGCTGAGACGAGCCAGGAAGTGAAAGTTTACCACTCTCTTCTCCACAGAAGAAACTCTGAGGAAAGAGGTGTCTCAATCAGTTACTCTGAAAGCTGCCCAGAGAGTCAGAGTCAGCCGCTAGCAGCTGATGCTGACACTGTCGCCATCTGGTATTTGAGCACACAGGGTCCGCAATCACCTGACGGTGTAGAGAAGCCCTCCCCTCTTTATGCAGCTGATTGGGGCTTTGGGCCGAGGAGAACGTCATTGAGTCTTGACAGTGACGCTTGCCTCCCGCTGCCTGACAGGCAGGTCAGCTCGAGCCCACGGAAGCCAGCACCACCTGAAGCTGAAAAACTGAGGCAGAAATGTGACAGTGACCTTCAAACTAAATATCTAAACTAGGATATACTCCCAAGTCAGTCTAGACACAATTTCGGTTAGCATATTTATAAACTACCTAATAAATAATGGTAAAAGTTAGGAATTGGATTTGTGCAAATGAAGAAATCTACTATATTGGCTTCCAAATTTTAAGATTTATGCCCAAGAAAAATTGGCCCCAACCATTTTTTTTTCATTAGAGGGCAACTGAAAGGTGATTGCAGTGCTTGGTTAGTCTGTCTTTCTTTTTCTTTTTCCAGCATTCTACTTGCATTAATGAGAACAGGAACATAAACTATGACCTAGGGGTTTCTGTTGGATAGTTAGCAATTTAGAATGGAGGAAGAACAACAAAGACATGCTTTCCATTTTTTCTTAATTCTCAAAACAGTGTTACCTTTGTCTTTTCAATCTTAGTTTTAACTGATTATACCTTTAAAGGAAGAAGTGAATTCTTGCTACTTAACATATGAGTACCTTGCTACTGACTACATTTTAAATATCCATTTATACTTTTTTATATCTAAGACTCAAATCTTAAATTTTATTATCATCTATGAAAGAAGGCTTTATCTATTGTTTTCTTTACCTTGCATTGTATCAAACTCTTTAAGATTTGAGAATGCCTGTCTTGAAAGATATAAGGGGAAAGAGAGAAGAATGTTGTCTATCTCTTGATTGCTTAGCAAGTATTTCCATAGTCAATGATGGTTCACTAGGTAAACTAAGTCCTATGAACCTGAACTCTGTTATGGTTAATACTATTAAGTAAGAATGCAGTATATAGTTGGCCAAAGTGTGGATTTATTTCAATAAACTCAATTTAAAATGTCTAAAGCTGTCTCTGACATTGTTATTATTTAGGAAGTTTATTATATTAACAACAGAAGTAAAGTTTTCAACTGCTTTTAAAGGAGTTAAATAGCAACAAATGAATTTACTGCTGTCCTTAAAACCGTCTACGTTTAAGGTGAGGATCCTTGCCAACAGAGAGGCGCTGCTCCAGTTCTCGAATGGTGTTACGAAGAGTTGCAATCTCCTTGTTTTTTTCTTCTTGAAGATGTTGAAGCTTCTAAATGAAGCAGAAAAATTTTGCTAGTGTAATCCAAAAAGGATAAGATTAAGTACAAGGAACAACAAAACAACAACAAAAACTAAACTTCTAGTTTAAATAGAAGTAGGTATTCAAAAAAGACCTTACATTTCAAAAAGTGTAATTTTGTTTTTGTGGGACTTAATGGCATAAGGATGCAAAAATACACATTAGCACCATTTGTTTTAGTTTGTTCCCTTCTCCCTAGTGAAATTGTAAAGCATAAATAAAGAAGGAGTTGAACAAAAAGAAATCTACTGTGTACTGAAATAGCTTCAGAAGTCAGTCCACATTAGTTCAAAATACATCACAGAATTCCTTAGACCATCCAGAGTCAGAGGACTTCTCTAGTATTTTAATTATCCACTAAGACTTACGAGTTTAAATTGAAAGTGACCTTTAAAGATTATTCAAAATCTAATCTTTCTGATTGTGTGATGTATTTTAAGAAAAAGTATTAAGTATATTGTTAGTAAATATTGACAACTTTTATGGAAGGAAACACACTAAGAAACTTTATTTTCTTAAGCATGGAAGAAAAACTTACCCTTCTGTAGATACTTTGTGGCAAAACAGTAGAATCTGGATATGATTTTGGTTTAGTTTGAACTCTTGCTAGTTTGGCATCAAACTGAATCAAGTTTAAAAAGAAAGTTATTGGGAACATTCTAGTTAAACAATTAGAAACAATTGTCTCCATAAATATAAATACAATCCACTTTATCCTTTGACATTTAATCTGTAATCCTATATAATAAAAGCCTAATATGCTAAGTGTCCAGTAGACCGGTCAGCTGTTCAACCAATCAAAGCGTAATATGCTAATGATATGCTAAGGCCGCTCAACCGCTCACTATGATGTGCACTGACTACCAGGGGGCAGACACTCTGGCTAGTGTTAGCTTGCTGCTGGGGTCTGACTTATCGGGACTGAGTGAGATGGGCCAGACATGCCCTGGAGCCCTCCCGTGGTTCCTCCCTGGCTGGCCAACCTCCCACATCCCTCCCCTGCCCCAACTGTGCACCAGTGGGGTCCCTTGGCCTGGCCTGTACCCTCTCACAATCCAGGACCCCTCGGGGGATGTCAGAGAGCTTGTTTCAGCCCGATCCTGCAGGCCAGGCTGAGGGATCCCACTGGTGCACAAATTGTTCAGCGGGCCTCTAGTTTAAGTATATTCGAGGTGTAACAGAAGATAGAAAAGTCTTTATTTAAGAAATAGAGCAAAGAACACCCAAACAAGATTAACCCTGGCTGCATGCTAAGATTACCTGGGGAGCTTTTTTTTTATTTTTTTTTTTTAATATATTTTATTGATTTTTTACAGAGAGGAAGGGAGAGAGATAGAGAGTTAGAAACATCGATGAGAGAGAAACATTGATCAGCTGCCTCCTGCACATCTCCCACTGGGGATGTGCCCGCAACCCAGGTACATGCCCTTGACCGGAATCGAACCTGGGACCTTTCAGTCCACAGGCCGACGCTCCATCCACTGAGCCAAATTGGTTTTGGCTACCTGGGGAGATTTTTGAAAGTACCCAATACTGGGCACTACCCTAGAGATTCTGGGTGGGGTTAGCATCATCTTTTCTTAGAATATCAGGTGTTTCTATCATACAGGGTTAAGTATCTAGTTAAGAGGGTTGAGAATCTAGTTAACCTAAAGAGAGATAATGTTTCACATTACTTTGAGTGCTTTTTTAAAAAATATTTTCTTTATTGACTTTAGAGAGGAAAGGAGAGGGAAAGAGAGAGAGAAACATCAATGATGAGAGAGAATCATTTATCGGTTGCCTCCTGCACGCCCCACATTGAGGATCAAGCCCACAATCCAGGCATGTGCCCCAATGGGGAATTGAACTGTGACCTCCTGGCTTACAGGTCGATGCTCAACCACTGAGCCACGCTGGCTGGGCAAAGTGTTTTTATAAAAAAAAATGTCGGCTAATTAACAGTCATGAGAGAAAACTCATATACCCTTCTGTACAGACTTTGAGACGGAATAATAGAATTTGGATTTGCTTTTGTTGATTTAGTTTGAACTCTTGCTAATTTGACATTAAACTGAATCAGGTGTTTTTTTTTTAATATTTTTATTGATTTTTTACAGAGAGGAAGGGAGAGAGATAGAGAGTTAGAGACATCGATGGGAGAGAAACATCGACCAGCTGCCTCCTGCACACCCCCCACTGGGGATGTGCCCGCAACCCAGGTACATGCCCTTGACCGGAATCGAACCTGGGACCTTTCAGTCCGCAGGCTGACGCTCTATCCACTGAGCCAAACCAGTTTCGGCATGAATCAGGTTTTTAAAAAAATCCTTGTAAGGTCATTCTTACAGGCCATATTTTTGGCAAAATCTCCCATGATAACTTTTCCTTCAGGTTGAGTTTAGTGCAGCCTCCCTGTGGACTAAGAATAAACTGTCTGTGAGACTGTGTTCTGGTTTGGGGAGAGAAATGGATCATGACGATGAAAATAAACAGCAGGAAGAGTTCTGTCTGTCAGTCACACAACAGACTTGGGCTAACAGGGTCCGGATGGCAAATAAAATGCACACCCTAATCAAGGGGTGGGAAGTTAACAGCAGTTCCTCTGTATCTCAGCTGCCCATCCAGCCTTTCCGTGGTGTGTGGGTTCACTTGATGGAAGGCAGTAGCAACCACCAAGAGCCTCTGAAGTCAACATAGCCATCTTTTGCTTAATGATTATACACGTTTCAACACTGTACCTCACCAAGAACCCCAGGATACCAAACTAGCCGGAACATGAAAGTAAGTCATCTTAACTAATGGTGAATTAGGACACCATAAGGTAAAGTGGGAGTCAGGATGGGGGAATGTGATAAAAAATGATGGAACGGGAGATTAGTAAAATTTAGAAAAAGCTTTAAGGAACAAATATGTTGTCAAATATCAGTATCTTTATATTTTGACACCTGGTTAAGGAACCTACTTAAGGGCTTTCCAGTCAAGAACTAGAACCTCAGCCTTCCAGATGCCCTATTTGAAGTTGCTTTAAATAAAAAACAGTTTGGTTTGTCTGCCTCTATGATATTCTACACATTTGTTAAGGAGACATTTGTCTCTTTTTATCCTAAGAGAAAGGAATTTCTACATGTTTCCACCATTTCTGCAGAGGCGAGTGTAATACTATGGATTAGAGACACTCCCCACTGGGGGAAGGGAGACAGTCCTATGAAGCCTGCCTGGACTCAGCTGTAAAATGCAGGTAATCCCTGTGTTACCTGACCCCCTCAGAGGAAACAATACTTCTCTAGAAACCAGGACGTTTGAACGACTGAAGAGCCCCACCTTCAGGCCAAGTGTTGAATGTCAGCATAGCTGAGATTTGCGGAGAAGGCTACTTCCGAATTTATCTCACTGTGATAAAAAAAATGCCCAAAGTACGGTCTAAATTAAGGGATGCATCCTCAAATGTAGAAGCCTTAAACATTTACCTCTAGCTGTAGTTTGATTATTTCAGTTTGTTTTTCCTTCTCTTGAATTTTTAACTTTGCTTTTAACTCTGAAATTTCCATCTCCATTTTCTCTACCAGTTCTTTATTCTTTTCTTCATTTAATTCGACTGAATAAAACAAAGTAAATAAAATTAATTCACTTTAAAATTTAAAAAATCTTATAAGCTTATAGTTTTAGTATTTTAAATGATACACGAGAAAGTAAATTTTATTAATAAAAAACACACAGTATTTTAGAAACTGTTTATGTGCAGCATACCTTTTAGATATTTTTGACAAACCTTTGCCAAAAGCTTGAAACATAGAAGTCACCCATTGAATGCTTTTTAAATAAATAAACTGATTTGTACCCTTAAGCAACAATGGCCTACAGATTAAAGAGGAGATCAGTGGTTAAAGACGGAAAAAAGCCTAGGTTCCTAGGTCGAAAGGCCCCAAATTCCTGGATGACGCTAGAGCCATGCCAAGCACCTGCTATACTCTGTTCCCTATAATTGGCCTCTCTGACATTCACATCATATTTTTATTTTTCATCAAATCTCCTCTTCTCTGAATTTCCCTATTCCTATAAATAATACTGTACCATCCAAGATGGGAACCTCAACGAACTTTTCGGCTTTAGGGAGAAAGGAAAGAGTCCATTAGTCTACAACAAGCCCCCCAGATAAGGGGCCTCCATCCACAATGAACCCACGACCTATTTAGTTTCAGGCCTCACTTTTCCTCAGTTGAACTCTGTGTCTAGACCAGGGGTGGGCAAACTTTTTGACTCGAGGGCCACAATGGGTTCTTAAACTGGACCGGAGGGCCGGAACAAAAGCATGGATGGAGTGTTTGTGTGAACTAATATAAATTCAAAGTAAACATCATTACATAAAAGGGTACGGTCTTTTTTTTTTTTTAGTTTTATTGATTTCAAACGGGCCGGATCCGGCCAGCGGGCCGTAGTTTGCCCACGGCTGGTCTAGACTCTCTATCACTAGCTCTATCTCTCTAAACACTGTTGCCAGGCTAGTCTTCCTAAAGTTTACCTCTAAGCATGGCCATCACTGTGTCAAAAGCTTTCAACCACTTCCCATTTCCCCAGCGGGACAATTCAAGGCCTACCCACAGGTTTTGGCCTTTCTCTTGCTGAACCTCTCTGTATAGTACAAAGAAAAGGTAGGAAATGAGCTATGATTCCCTAGCATTTCCCATGTCTCCCCCTCTGTATGTCTCCAAGTTTATTTTCTCTTTGTCTAGAGGCTCTTTTCCTATCTTCACCAGTCAGCCTTACCCATATTCAGGATTTAGGAGCAGGGTCTAGCACTAAGGCCCCATCTTAGCCTGGGGTGAGGCAAAGTCCATAAGAATATATTTAGCTATCCAAACTCCACCTGGTCTCAGTCTGTACTCAGTATGTGCCTGGAGGCAGCACTACTGCAGACACAATGCATAGAAGCTGTGATTACAACATGAAATGGGTCCATCTTCAGACACTATATTAGAGAACAGGTGTGTGGTTTTCTTTATCACAACTAGGGGCCCAGTGCACGAATTTGTGCACCTTGAAAGGAACTGCGGGCTGCGAGGCTGCGGTGGGCACAGGGCGGGTCTTGGCCCATCCTCCGCGCCCCCCACCCGGCTCCTCCTGCTGCGGCCCCAGGTCCCCTCTCTGCCATTGCAGGTCCCATGCGCTGATGGCACCGACCCCGCTCGCACCCGCTGATGGTGCAAGCAACAGCTGCTGCCCCGAGTGTCCTTCAGGAGCAGGGGGAGGTGGAGAATCCCTCAGGGGCGATCGGGGCCGGCAGCTGCTGCTTGCACCCACTGCCACTTGGTTGATGGCACTGAGCAATCGGGGCTGGCACCAGGCGCCGGCAGCAGGTGTGAGTGGCAGCTCTGGTGCCGGCAGCAGGTGCGAGCGGGGCTGGTGTGAGTGCCAGGAGGGACCACGGCACGTGGGACCAAAGAATTTTCAGTAACCACCAGAGGCTCGCCCCGATGACAGCGACTGGCGCCATGCCTTGGTCTGGCGTCCCCGCTCACCTGCCCCACCATCCTGCTGTGGCCGTCGCCCGCCATGTTCCGCACTTTGCCGCCTGCTGCTGACGCCCACCATGTTCCACACATGCCCCCTGTTGGTCAGTGCATGTCATAGCGACCAGTTGTTCGGTTGTTCCGCCGTTTGGTCTATTTGCATATTAGCCTTTTATTATATAGGATTACCCTAAAAGCTTTTGTTATCAAGATTCTGTTGGCCTTATGAAATGAACTGGAAAGTGTTTCCTCTCTTTTGTTTGTTCATCCTCTGCAAGAGTTTGTGTAAGGTTAGCATTACTTTTCCTGGATGTTTGGTAGAATTTCACCAGGAAAGCCATCTGAGCCTGGAGGTTTTTTTTGTGGGAAAAGTATTATAGATTTAATTTCTTTAATGGAGATAGAACAATTCAGATGTTCTATTTCCTCCAGTGTGCTTTTGATTCTTCAAAAATGTCTAATTCAACAAAAATTTCAAATTTATTAACATAAAGATGTTTGCTTATACAGTTAATTATGGAGTTCATTCAATTTTTAAAGTTTAAAATTATTTTCTCTTTCTCATTTCTGATATTGATTAATTGTACTTGCTCCATTTTTTTTCTTGATCAGTCTAGATGGGAGTTAATCAATTTCATTAGTTTTTTTTTTTCCAAAAATTTTTGGATCTGATTATTATGTATGTGTTTGTAATTTCAGTAATATCTGACTTCCTTCTAATTTCTTCAGGCTTAGTTTGATATTTCCCTCTTAACTTCTTGGTATAGGTATTTAGATAATTGATTTAAACATTTTCCAATATTTGTATTTAAGCCTATAAATGTACCCATAAACACAGCTTTATCTGTGCCCACAGTTTTTTTTTTTTAATATTTTAAAATTGATTTTTTAGAGAGAAAGGAAGGGAGAGGGAGAGAGAAATAGAAACATCAATGATGAGAGAGAAACATTGATCAGCTGCCTCCTGCATACCCCCTACTGGGAACTGAGCTGCAACCTGAGCATGTGCCCTGACCAAGCATCCAACCGTGACCTCCTGGTTCATGGGTTGATGCTCAACTACTGAGCCACATGGGCTGGACCACAGTTTTGAAATGTAGTCTGTATAATTCATTTAAAAACCCTTTAGGATTTCTACTTTGATCCATAGGTTATTCAGAAATAATTTACAAACATATAGAGATTTTTTAAATTATCTGCTTCTTGGAGGGCCAGAAGAAATTATATGCTTAAAGTGCTGTTTAATGTTATAGTCCCACCAATAAGGACTCAGAGTTCCAGTAGCTCCACATCTCTCTCTCTCTCTCTCTCTCTCTCTCTCTCTCTCTCTCTATATATATATATATATATAGAGGGAGCAGCCGCTAACCCGGAAGTGGTTGCGTTCAAGTGCCCTGGAGGCTGTGGTGGGGCCACGGAGGCTTTGGAGGCGGCTGCGGCGCTAGGATGAACGCCCCTCCTGCCTTCGAGTCGTTCTTGTTGTTCGAAGGCGAGAAAAGATCACCATTAACAAGGACACCAAAGTACCCAATGCCTGTTTGTTCACCATCAACAAAGAAGACCACACACTAGGAAACATTATTAAATCACAGCTGTTGAAGGACCCACAGGTGCTGTTTGCTGGCTACAAAGTTCCCCACCCCTTGGAGCACAAGATCATCATCCGTGTACAGACGACACCAGACTACAGCCCCCAGGAGGCCTTCACCAATGCCATCACGGACCTCATTAGTGAACTCTCCCTGCTGGAAGAGCGATTCCGGGTGGCCATCAAAGACAAGCAAGAAGGAATTGAATAGTGGCCAGTTCCTACCCTGCACCAGGCCCTTTTCCAGGCACCAAGTGGAAGAGAGCAGCTTCTCCCAACCGTGGCCTCCTTGGAAATATCCCAGAGACCCCCTCACCCCCGACACCGATCTGTCCTGTACATAGATTCTTCCTAATAAAGTTTCATCTTCCTAATGAAAAAAAAAAATACCACAAAGGTTCAAAGTGGTATCTCATTATAGTTTTAATTTGCATTTTGCTGCTTACTAATTATGTTGAACATGCTTTCAATGCTTATTTTCCATCTGTATATCTCGGGGGAAGTGCTGTTCAAATATTTTGCCCATTTTCTTGTTGGGTTGTTTGACTTATTATTGAGCTGTTAGAGCTCTTTTTATTTTGGATATAAGTCCTTTGGCAGGTATGCATTTGCAAGTATTATCTCCCAGTCTATGGCCTATCTTTTCATCTTGCTAACAGTGTTGAAAGACAGAAATTGATAATTTTGATGAAGTTCAATTTAGAATTGTTTTCTTTATTATTTGTGCTTTTTGTTTCTTTCCAAGAAGTTGTACCTAACTCAAGGTTGCAAAGATTATATTCTCTGCACTCTTTCTGCAGTTTTATAGATGCAGGTTTACATTTACATCAGTCATCTATTTCAAGTTGATTTTTGCATAATGTACATAAATAAGGTCTCATTAAGAATGAACAACATAAAATAATGAACAAAAACAGATCCAGAGACAGAGAAGCATCGATCAGACTGTCAAACCTCAGAGGGAAGGTAGAGGAGGATGGGGGTAAGGGGGAGAGATCAACCAAAGGACTTGTATGCATGCATATAAACCTAACCAATGGACACAGATACCAGGGGGGTGAGGGCATGAGTGTGTGGGAGGTTGGGGGGCAATGAGGGGATAAGAACACATATGTAATACCTTAATCAATAAAGAAAAATAAAATAAAACAAAATAAATTTAAAAAAGGAAAGACTTTTAACACCCTTATGAAACTACTTAACTCTCAACATAGGCTCATAAGATCTGCTTTACTGAAGGTAGAAAATTTCATTAGTGAAATGATATTCAATATGCTGAGTATATAAATATCAAAGTTATAAATTATACATTTTATATTAATTTTATACATTGTTTCATAGAAAATAATATTAAGTGTAAACACCATGAATCCAATTTAGACATGTTATAATTTATAACACATAATTTAGGTACAAAACCTAAATTAAAATACATCAAGGCAGTGTTCATTCAAGAAAAATTAATATATGCATTTGAATTGTTTTATGATATCTTAGAATTCAGTAAATTAAAAATAAAAACTTACCTTTTTTCTGCATATCCTGGTAAAGTTTCCTTAATTCTGTCTTATGTCCTTCCTCTTTGATTTTCATTTCACTTATAAGTTTGGCAATGCTATTCTTATATTCCTAAAGATTAAAATATATTCATTCTTCAATTTAAATATGTGCATGCTACTTTTGATTAATTAGAAAGGTGAAATTGTCAAATTTTATATTAATTTTTGATATGTAATCATATCTAGAAGGGAAAGATATTGTTCAGTTTCAATCAGCTTTCAGAAGGACCAATTTCTGGTCCGAGGAGACAGAGACCATCTAGAGACAATGTCTTTTTACTTTTGCTTTCTGAGTACTCATCAGTAGTGTTGCGCATTTCATAGATGCTTGAAACATTTTGTTTCATTTTATGAACAAACACCATGACAGCTCTAAAATAGGCCCAATAAAAGCCAAAGTTATACTTCAGAGCCAATGGTAGGTACTATTCAATAGACAACCAGCTTTCCCTAAAGTAGGATGAATCCTTATGAATGTGGGATGAACTTCTGTATCTAAAAATTAGACAAACATCCCTAATTCCTAGAAGGAGAGTAAGCATTACCCATCGTAAAGATTAGCTTTATAAAGGAGGCTTGAATAGGATGGATTTGGGATTTGAGCCGTGCTCAGCAGGTGCCTGAGATTTGCTTCCTAGGTTGTGGGAGCATATTATGCTAATGTGGAGAGGGGCATTAAGTAGGCCACGAAAGAGAAAGTCCCCAAAGATAAAATTCACAATTTTCCCAGTGGTATGTCCCCACATAAAGAAATCACTCACAGGCCCAAGATGTAGGCAGAGGAAAGGACAGTGGGAAGAACAGTGAAGAAGGTAGTAAGAAAGAGACAGCAATGAAGGCAAACGGTCAAGAAAAGCCTCTGAACACTATGAGACAGGGGCTTCGCTTTGAATCACTGTTGTATGTCTGCCTCCTAGTGTCTCTCTCCTGATATTATTTGTTGAATGAATGAGAGTGCCAATAAAAATTAAGTCAGAACGAATCTCAGAGGGGAGGCGGGGGTGGGAGTGGGAGTGGGAAATGATTAACCAAAGAACATATGTGCATAACTCATAAATACAGACAATAGTGTGGTGAAGGCCTGGAAGGAGCAGGTACAGGGTGGAGGGAATCAATGGGAAAAAAGGGGGGACATCTGCAATACTTTCAACAATAAAGATAAATTTAAAAAATTAAGTGAGAAACTCTTAGCTTAGACCCAGTAAATGGGCTTTTGAGGATCCATTAACTTCCTGAAATTGTATGTAAAATTATACATATATTAGAGGCCCGATGCATGAAATTTGTGCAAGAGTAGGCCTTCCTTCCCCAGGCTTCTGACACTGGCTGCCCTCTGGCACCCGGGACCCGGGCTTCCCTCCGGCCGCCGGCAGGCACCTGGGACCCGGGCTTCTCTCGCAGCTCAGGCTTCGTCCGGAAGGCCATCGGAAGGATGTCCAGTCTAATTGGCATATCATGCTTTTATTATTATAGATATGTATGCATATGTACTGATGAACTTTCTCCTCAGAGAGGGTTCACAGCTTTTAATAGATATTCAGTGATATTGAAGAGGTAAAAAAGTCCAGCTCTCCTGGCTTAGATGGCTATGATTAAACATAGAGGCACATCTGTCCAGGTTACATAAGTTCAAGGGGATAGAGTCCAGATTCATACTGTGATACTTACCCTGCCAGGCAATTTGCAGGAATGGCCAAACCTACCCAAACACTGACTTTGATTAAAGCTGGACAGGTGAATTTGGGTGAATCTGATGAATTGCCATTCTTCATACGCACGTATCTAGGTTCCAAGGTGGGCAACTACTGAGTAGTTTTCATAAACTACTCCTGACTCAACTGGGTGCACTAAGCAGTTACTGCTCTGAGAAACAAGAGACAAACCTATCTATCTTTTCATTCCCCACTGACTTTGCCATCGGAAGATGCCATCACTAAAGTGGAATACTTCTGTTAATTGGTAAGACCCAGGGTTTTCACTCCCATCCCTAGGCACGGAGACTATGTTTGGGCTGGGCTCTATCACACTGGATTCTTCTCCCCCACTTCAGCCTGGGCCAGTCCTTCCTCTTTCTAAGGGGACCAAGTCCCAACAAGTTATTCTTGGTTGCCTTCTGGGAACCTTAAATGCCAAGGAATAGCCTCTGATTGTATTTTTGTTTTTATAAAACTTAAGGATTCTCTGTCTACAAGTTACAAAATCTCTCCCAGTCCCATAACATGCTTATGAAGTACCTCCTGAGTTTGTTTCTGGGTAGTGGTTTTTCATGTTTTGGATGTGCCTGGAGGTTTTGTACTAGAGAATTCTCATTGGATTGAGGTCATCTTCGGTTTGCTTTGGACAGTAGCTAATTTAGAAGTGCAGAATCTTGGGCTGTGGTGTTTTCTCATCAATTTCCACCCTCTGAAAATCCCTATGGTACTCTAAAAAAAGCAGTATTCTGTGGCTTGACATCTGAGACGAGAAAAGAGGCAAACATTTCTCCGCCTTCTCTCTACCCCAATTACACTCTGACTTCACTATCTATTGTTGAGCTCTAAAGATGAGCTATGGAAAGGATGGGAAAGAATAAGGACAAAGGATAAAGGAAAGGGGAAAGTAAACCATGGGATATATTCCAGAGATGTTTAAATTGTCTCAGAATTAGTGATGAGAGACATTTTCCAAGAGCGCAGCCAGATGCCAGTTATTTCATCTGAGTGATACCCAGGAGCTCTGAGGGCTTTAGAATTAGACTGTGTTTCTTCAGAGGCTCCTCGAATGAGGAACCAGATTGAATTTAGAGATGGTCCTTCCAACTGAAGTTCTAAGTTTCATAAAGATCCAACTAGAATTTTGGAAATCTTAGGCCAGAGTTTGACATACTGGCTCTCGGGAGAGGAGACTAATTAGTGTGATCAACTTCCCAAAGGGCAGAGGGGTGGGAACTGACGTTTACCGAGCACCTTTATGTTCTAGTCACTGTGTTGTGTGTATGTTCTATAGTTGCTGACACTATGCTGTTCTTATGGGAAAAAAGAAAAGGTAACAGAGGGTATGGTGGCCCTGGGAGAGAATTAATTGGCGGTTAAGTACTCCCTTCATTTAAATGGTGCAATAAAACTGTAATATATTACTCAAGTCATAAAGATTAAACACTCATTTACTTTGTAGTAAAAAAGTTTAAAAGTGCTAATAATGTATGTATACTCTAGAGTAAAAACTCTATTAACATAATTTAAAAATATGTAACAAAATAGTTGCATTTTTTGGTAGAAAGAAAAAGCACAAGTGACATATTAGTACATTACAGTCTGCAAGAAGACTAGAGTCCTCAGAATTTCTATTTCTTTAAAAATTTTCATTTGTTACAAATTCTGGCACACGCACTCACACACATATACATTTACTCTATATTTTGGCTGTCTTTATTAATGAAAACAACCACTTTTTTTTCTAATTTAGAAGACAAATGCTCTACAGGGACTTGATTGATACAAAGATACATACACTCACCTGTTCATGAGATTTTAACTTTTCTTTCATAAGATCAGCATTTCTTTTCAGTTGTTCATTTTTACCTGTGTAAAAACCATCAAAGAGCATCCTAATATACAGCGCCTTTCAATTACATGGGAACACATGTAACCTTTCAAATTTCCGTTCATGTATGTACTACTCAACCCTTGAAAACAGCATCTATTACACACCTATTGCATATGCACAGAGTACGTGAAACTGGAATGGTGAGACAAAAATGTAATCATTCTTCAAATCGTGCAGCCTGTGGTGAGAGATGTGTAAGTCGTTGTGATGTGCCATGGCCGCCCTGCAGTGGCAGTGTGTCTGAAGTACACGGGACCTGTGGGACAAAAGCCCAGGCCAGAATGAGGTCAGGCGAGAGTATACTGAGGAGGAAGCATCTGAGCTGAGACTTAAATGCGAAGGCTCACCCCAGGTGGGAGGGGGCGTTTCAGAAGACTGTGGGCTGGGTTGAGCGCAGCACGCGTGGGAAAGTGACAACTGAAGTACAGCACTGTTGGAGTAAACTCTGAGGAAGGTGTGTTAAGTAGGTTGGGGCCAGAGCCTAGTAGGAGGTCTGGCTTTAAATTTTATTTTATGGGGTCATCAATGAATTTTACAGAGGCGCTGAAGAAATTTGAATAGTGAAGTGAAATGATTACAGTTA